GCTTTAAGTTGCATGTATGGCGTGTGTGTTAGAGACTTAAATTCACATGATTTCTGAAATAATTGAATCATTAACATTGGTATTAATAATTAGAATACTAGATCCACATCAGTGAATGGAGTAGCAAACGAGGCTTCTAATTTCTTAAAGTGAGCTACCTAATTGAGATGTTGTGTACATACAAGGATCTAATCCCCTTCCCTCCCAAAACATAAAGAATCTCCTAAGTGATATGAATATATTGATCATAAGCTGAAATGGGATATTAGATTTTTTTAGGTTTAATTAAAATATTACTGTTAAAAAGTAATTCCTATGTTGTTTCATCTTTATCATGAATTAGTAGTGACTATTATGAGATGATTCTTCTGTTTTTATTGGAGTGACTGTGCTTTTTCTTGATTAATGTGGTACATTATACTGGACAATTTTTGGATGTAAAACCAGCTCTCCTTGAAAAAATACCTCACTTGTGCATGCATAATATATATTATTTTCTTTTAGAGTTCATGAATGTCAAAAATGGGGATATGCCAATAAACGATTCTGCTACTGGGAAAACTGAAGGATTCTTAATACAAACGGAGGCAGCTGTCTTGTTGGGGATATAAGGGTATACAGTCTGTCGTTGGGCATAGCATCGCTACGGAAGACTCAGCTATATTATTTGATTTGCTTTGCTAAAATTTTGTTAAGGTTTTTGTCTTATATTTGCAAGGGTTATTGGTCTGTAGCTTTCTCTCTCTCTCTCTCTCTCTCTCTCTCTCTCTCTCTCTCTCTCTCTCTCTTTCTCTCTCTCTCTCTCTCTCTCTCTCTCTAGATGTAGTTTCTTTCCAAGTTTGCAAAACCTGGTGTCATTTCTTCTATAGACATCAGAATTTAAAAGCCAAACTTTAGGGGCATTTTTTTTTTCTGAACAGGTTTTTAAATAAAATTTCAATTCTTGCTAGGCATGGTAGCTTATACCTATTGTCCTAGGTCTATAAGTTTGTTGAATTGATACAGGGCTACCCAGGGATTGTATTATTGGACAGGGTTGATAATTTGTGTCTCTTTATGAATTTGTGCAGTAAATACAATTAAAGTTGCTAACCATACTATTTTAACTGGTAGGCTTTACTTTCGAGTGCTATCTTCTGCTATATCACTGATATTGATTATTTTGTCTTTCGTATGTGTCTGAGTTTTAGTTCGCCACCCTCCCCCCAAAATCTAGCTTTTAGGTTCCAGAATTTCTTCATTCCTCCCTGCAACCTACTTTTATTTAAAAAGTAAAAGAAAGAAAGGAAGGAAGGAAGGAAGGAAGGAAGGAAGGAAGGAAGGAAGAAAGAAAAGTGTCCTTATGTACCCAGTCTTGTCTCAGACTCTCTATGTTCTCTATGTAACTGATGGCCTCAAACTTGTAATCCTCCTGCCTCCACCTCCTGAGTGTACGTGCCACTGCACCCAATTCATATGGCACTGAGGATTGAACCAAAGGCTTCATGCATTCCAGACAAGCACTTTCCCTGTTGGAGGGGAGAGACGGGACCGGAGACTGAGCAGAGGTCCTGATGATGGAATGTGAGCATTTTGCTCCTGTCCACACACACACACACACACACACATACACACACACACACACACACACACACACACACACACAAGGCCAGCCGTGTACTGGTGTGAGCGCTCCAGAGGCTGGGGGGGAGGGGGGCCGGGGTCTAGAAACCAGCCTTTGACATTTCCCCCGTGCGTGCCTGTGTCAAATGCTTTGCCAACCCAGAACGTGACTCACTGAAGCGGAACTTGAGATATCTTGAGTTCCTGTGTTCTGCTATCTGATGCTCTTTACTGATTTGTTTTTCTGCTTCCCCATTTGAGGGGTACAAAAAGCCACTCTATTAATAAACTTGCCTGGTTCACCGGCTTCTCCAGCCCTCCTATCCCAGCTTTTGACTCTTTCTTCCTTTCATCGCCTGCTTCCTGTCTATCCCAGGTCGTCCCCGTCAGCACCCTGTCCCGAACACTGACATGGCTGATCTTGGTCACTACCATCTAGGCCACACCCCTTTTCCTTTTTAATAATTAGCGTATTCTATCTCTTCTGAGCCTATCACGCTGGGAAAATGCAGCTACACTATTTTGTAGACTGTCCCCAAGTTGCTTTTTTTTTTTTCTGAACCTTCCTCATAATTTGAATCTGTTGTGTATTATTTTTTTTCCACTTAGGAATTTTTGACAATGCCGTAGAAAAGATGCCAAGTTCCTATTTGCCATATTCAAAAGAATGTTTCCCACAGTGATTACCTGGTTAAAACAAGCAAATATGAAGTTTCAATATTCAAAACTTCTTATAAGTGTCATGTGTGAGAGTTAAGTGTGCTGTGGGATAGAAAATTAAAAACTACACACTGATGCCTCATCAGATTTTCACTGCGAACTCAAGCATCCATGGATGAACATCATTATTGCTGTGCGTCTGCCCATGCCCATTTTCCTAAGACTGCATCTCCGTATGTTAGCTAGAATTCTGCTGGAAGGAGAGTTCACCTCTCACCTGTTCATTTATATAGCACAGACTCAAACTATTCTGTAATCCCGTGAGTTATAATCTATCACCAGTGTACTGACTTGAAATACCACAAGTTTGATTGGTAGGGGCTTGTCCATGCTGTCTTTTGAACATGTCACTGCCATTTTTAAGTACTTATTTTCTGAAACCCTTCATGCCTGATATTTGGGAAGATCTCTCATGTTCATCTATATTTCCTGCTTCCACTTAAGACATCAGCTGTTTCTCCAAGGAATCCTGATTTCATTCACTGAAGAAAGGCATTTAGAAATAATCTTGAGGCCCTCATTTATCCTAGCATTTTCAAGGCAGGTGTGTGTGTGTGTGTGTGTGATAATTATTAACTTCATCCGCCACCTTGTACTCACAAAAGGGCTTCCCAGATAGCTAGGAAAACATTATTTCTGGGTGAGTCTGGAAATGTTTCTAGACCATGTAAGCGTTTGGGTCAGTCGTGTAAATAAAGGTCAACCTCACAATGTGGGCAGCCATCATCTAATCCATTGTGCACACACCCACACAGGGTGGACAGATGGAAAAAGAGTGGATTCTTGTTTTCTTCTCACACTGGGATATCACTCTTCTTTTCTTGGAAGTCAGAGCTTCTGTCTGATTTTAAAAGGGTCCAAGAAGTTTTGGCTATAATTATGGTGTCAAGTACTATAATACCAGCAACAAGTCCTTGAGGGGGAAAAATTAGGTAACACAGTTAATAGAAATATGAGCAACTTTATACATAGTTGGTTCACAATGGTGATACACAGTAGTTCTAAAGCAAGTTAAAGAAGAAAATAACCAGGTGAGGTACATGCCTTTAATCCCAGCACTCGGGAGGCAGAAGCAGGTGGATCTCTGTGAGTTGGAGGCCAGCCTGATCTACAGAGCTAGTTCCAGTACAGGCTCCAAAGCCACAGAGAAACCCTGTCTCAAAAATCCAAAAAGAAGGAGAAGAAGCAGAAGCAGAAGCAGAAGCAGAAGCAGAAGCAGAAGCAGAAGCAGAAGAAGAAGAAGAAGAAGAAGAAGAAGAAGAAGAAGAAGAAGAAGAAGAAGAAGCAGAAGAAGAAGAAGAAGAAGAAGAAGAAGAAGAAGCAGAAGAAGAAGAAGAAGAAGAAGAAGAAGAAGAAGAAGAAGAAGAAGAAGAAGAAGAAGAAGAAGAAGAAGAAGCAGAAGAAGCAGAAGAAGCAGAAGAAGCAGAAGAAGCAGAAGAAGCAGAAGAAGAAGAAGAAGAAGAAGAAGAAGAAGAAGAAGAAGAAGAAGAAGAAGAAGAAGAAGAAGAAGCAGAAGAAGCAGAAGAAGAAGAGGAGGAGGAGGAGGAGGAGGAGAATGGATTGCATTGTTTATGGTATCCTCATGCTTAAGTTCAACAAGACCATGTATAGCAGGGGGATCATGACTTTGACAGTGAAATTTTGCCTCCAAAAAAAAAAATCCAAAAGTTTATTGTCCAAGTTCAGTGTTTCTCAATATCTGAAATGTTTGTGATTGTAAACCAACCCCCGCCCCAAATGTTCAGTTTGATCTGGTAGAACTACGAAGTCCAGAGTTGAAAATCTCTACTCCTACTCCTAAAGTGAACACACAAGGCACTGTAGTCTGCTTCTGAGCCCACCATGCTCTACCGCATCCTCAGTCCAGCCATGATGACCTTACATATCTGTCCCCTCTCCCTCGGAATCAGACCGTGAATCCCTCCCTCCTCACCACCCACCCCATTTCAAAACCACAGCTTAAGTATCCTATGTTGCACAGGCGTGTGGTATACCTGTTCTCACGCTCCATTAAGTATAGAAACTTCACTGTTAAAGTAAGTGCAAGTGGCTTGAGGACAGACATTACAATGTGATCACACTATGGAGGCACTCCGAGAAGTTTCTACATAACCCTATCACTATCACTTCTATTCTAGGAAACACCAGGCAAACTTAACGCATGCAGGTATAAGTGGACATGAGCGCATTCTCGTCCCCTCTAGGGCAGCTTAGAGACTGCCTAACACTAGATACTAATTCTGACGGTGGTAGCTTGTTAGAAACATACACCTTCTGCTCCTGTTGCATGTTAAAGTCTTTGCATGTGGAATTCCCTTGAAAGCATTTCAGCACCAAGGCCAAGCAAACAGATGAAGCAATGGATTCATATCGTTGTTAGCCCCTGCTGCATGTGTATTATAGAACAGCCTACAATGAAAATACAACTGAAAATGATAAGACTATATTCAAAGCCTACACATTAATGTGGCTATCTTTAGATGAGTCGATAACAGAAAAATATTAGTAGATGACATGCCTGAGAAACTACAATTTCAAAGGAACTTAAAAATAATTCACATGAGGACAATCAAAAGGCAACATCTTTACTACTTAAGGAGATGGAAAATGGATCTCTTATCCAGAAATAAAAATTTCACTTTTAAGAAAAGAAATTTCAAATATTACATGAGACAAAATGTGGATCGTTTATTTATTTCTATTTAAAGGAAATATTTTTATTACATATCTTATTGATATACATTTAAAACCAAGATGTTCACTGATATAAATAAATATAAATAGATTTATCTTAATACTACAAAAGAATAAGATTTACAATTTGGCTATGAACAGAAGTACAAAATCTTTTCAGATAGAGGTTATGATAGCTCTGGACACCTTTAAAGACCAGTGAAGACACCTTCCTAAGGCTTTTTCACTGGAGAAAACAAAACAAGGATTTCCCTGAGAACAAAACTGCAACTTATCCTTCATCAAAAGCTGTGACCTACTCCTGACTCAGACCTGTTTGAAGGAAGATTCATCTTTAGCTACCTCCTCTTCTTTTGGTATCAACCTAGTCAAAAGCTCAATGTTCTTCTATCTATTTATTTATCTATCTATCATCTAACTAACTAGCTATCATCTATCTGTCTCTATCTAATCCATCCATCTATCTATCTATCTCTGTTTATTGAGACAGAATCTCGGGCATTCCAGATTGACCTGAAACTCACTAGGTAAACAAGAATGACCTTGAATTTCTGAATCTCTGCCCTTCACCTCCCAAGTACTGGGATTACAGATGTGTGATGAGGCAATTATGCATATTAGGCAAGCTCTCTACCAAGTGAGCCTCATTCCCCATCCCACAGCTGGTTTGTTAGTACGCTCTTCTTTTATAATATTTTGCCAACTCATTTTCACGGAAAGTACAAATGAAAACACCTTCAGGTCCAGGGTTAAATTAGGATGTTCCATCTCTGTGGCAATTTTACATAGAGGGAAGGGGATTTAGTTTGGGGTCTTTGTTCTACTTAGCAATCTAATTAGTTTTTCTAGCTTCCTTATTTCATTGTTAGCTAGAATAACATGCTAGATCTAGCATAAGAAATATTGATTTCCCTTTCTCCAAACTCTAAGCATGGAAAAAAATCTGTACATTTTCCCACACTTTCAGAAAAGTGTTATGAATTTTCTAATTTTGAAATATTTTTGAGTGACTTATGTGCATTGAGAATACAGTTCCATACAATCTTTCTTCTTGTTTTGTTAAGGTTCCTAACGTAGCCTAAAGACAATGATAGCATGCCAAACAAAGAACACTATTCAATTTATTGTATCCATTCCTCCTGGACATTCTACCAAACTAGAAGTATTCTCTGTGGTTGTATATATTCTCTTCTTTACTCTTCTTTGGCTAAGTCAACTAGCCAATGAGTAATAGCATCGCATGCAAAACTGTCAAGGTTATTAAACATGTATGGCCTGAAAGTTAAAGAAAAAAAATTAAAATCAAAATGCTTTTATTTACTGGTGATAAACACTAATTTGTGGGTACTATGTGATAAAACACTAAAAGAATTGGCTAATTAAGAACTCAAAACAAATATAACATTACTAGGTCAAAGAGCATGGAAAGCCTTCAGTTTACATCAGTATACTTCAACAAGTACAGTAGCTTTTAGTTTTCTAGTAGCCCAATTAGAATCAATGAAGTTACTTTGAAATTAAGTGCCAATGAAAGTCCCCCACCCCCAACACTATAGGTGAAGTAGAGGAAAGTTTCCAGACATTGACACCTGAGAAAATTCACAAACACAGTTATAGTAAGCTATTTTCAAATAAAGACATAATAAAAATGCTTTTACAGCCGGGGGGGGGGGGGCGGGGATGTAGTGCACACCTTTAATCCCAGCACTCTGGAGGCAGAGGCAGCCAGATCTCTGTGAATTCCAGACCAGCCTAGTCTACAAAGTTACACAAAGAAACCTGTCTCAAGAAAATGTAAAAAGAAATGCTTTTACAGTCTGTAAATATAGTAACTGAAAATGTATCTTAAAATGAATGTGTCTAGAACACTGAATAGGTCAGGAATTGATGCAGGGTAGGAGGTGGGAGGGCAAGGTAGAGGAGGGGCTGAAACCCACATGGAAACCTACTATTGTAGAAGCGCCTATTAACTATTTATAGGGTAATTACTTAATTTACACTATAAATACTGGGGCACAGCAAACTACCAAACAAAAAGCCCAGTGCCAGGTATGGGTTCAATCTGTTGGTCAGCTGGGTCCTATAGACTCCTCAAAACAACATAGGCTATTGTCATTACTCTTGGTTAACTTCCAGAACTTGATGGTAAGAACCTGTTACTGAACACACCATATAGTGAGTAATGAAGACACCGAGGAATCAAGCTGGTACTGACCTGAATACTTTGTCCCTACAGGCTGCCTTCCATAGTACTGAAGATGCTACATACCCTATTAGTCATCAACAATCTTACCTAGTTATGAACCTTTGAACTGCAATAAGGGCTTGCCTGGCATTTATGTCCATTGGTATAACACTGGCAACTACTTGTTGGATTTAAGACCTGTTCCCCCAAGATAGAACTCATGCCTGGTACTGTTAACTAGCCCAAGTACCCATGGTTGGGTAAGTCATAAGCCCCAAGGGAAAACCAACTTCTACCATTCTGCTAATTGAGCATAGTATTAAACACCCCCTAATACTTATCTTTACACCCACAGATCAGAAGCTGCCAGCCCTCTTTGGAGAAACTTTTTTTTGCACTAGATTGACTCACAACTGGTCAACATGCAGATAATGAGAGATAAACGAGATATCTTTATCATAGCCTTTCCTCTAAGGCCACACATCATCACATGTCCACAGCCCCCAGCACCAACTCCAGTTAAGATGCTACCACTCTACACATGGATAATTTATAAGTAGATTACTCAATGATCAAAACAGAAAGCCGGGATAAATGCAGACAGTACATGGGGCAGACAATGGAATGATTATTTTCGAAGTATTTTAGTCTGTACCTGCAGCTTTCCTTTGTGTGTGATTACATACTTTTTTGCTAAGCTCTGAATGACATTCTCAATTACTGTGGAAAGCTATATCTTAATGCATTTACCATTGTAGAATCTAGAATATTTAATTGGTATTAAACAAATTCGTGTAAAAACCATTCACCTTGCTCAGCTCACCCTACCACGTCCCAAGACCTAAATAATATTCATATACTTTATATACATTATTTTGGAAGAACAGAAAATACTGCATCTTTAAAAGCAACCATCTCTTGGTACCTCCCAGGGAATGTGGGAAACTGGTTCCAGGAAGTCCTGAAAAATCTAAAATCCACAGACGCCTAGGTTCTTTCTATGAAATTGTACAGGATTACAGATAAATTAGAATGCACACAGGCAGTAAGACCACTGGCCGCTGGGTTTAATCCCCAGCAAAGGTAGTTCACAATCATGTGTAACTCCCGTCCCTGGGAACTTGATGCTCTCTGGTCTCTGCGGGCATTGAATGCACGAAGTATACCAGACATACACGCAGGTAAAACATGCATACACGTAAAACAAAAGAAAAAAGAAAGCATTGTGCTTAAACACCATTGCTAGTTTAATGAGAAAGAAAGGAGCTACAGAGGGTTAAAAGAAAGAGAGCCTAAGTTAATCATTAAAATGGGCAATGTAGTAACAGCATTAAAAGAGTGGTTGTTCTAATTAATTAACTGGCTAAAATAGGCAGGAATTAAGTCAGTTTAGGAGTAACTTGAGGGTACACAAACTATTTGATTTCTGAGTAGCTAAACCTCCAAAATAAAATAGGATCAATTTAAATCACTCTGGCCACAGGATATGAGAGCCAACCATGACATTTATATTTAATAGGTGCACTCAAAGCATTCAGATATTTCAAATAAAACTGGCTTTTCCTCTGCTGCTGTCTAACATTTGAGTGTTTGCTCTATTATTTTTTTTTTATTCTCTGTGCGTGTGATAATCTATTTGAGCCTCATTCAGACCCCCTCAGGTAGATTTGGTTTTTTACCATCTTAAAGATAAAAAAGGTCAAACTGCCTCAAGACACAGCCTTCAAACAGAACATTTCGGATTCAAGCAGGCAGACAGAATTCAGAGCTGGTCAGGCTGGCTTCCCTTCCTGCCTATACTAAGTGGGAAACTGCTTAATCATGGGTAATTTAAAGATGCAATGAGACAGCTTTGCCTGGATTTCTTTGCTTCTGTACAATACACAGATATTACTATAAATTAAATTCAGTGAATAAAAGGTGGGGAGCAAATCACTCACTTATCATGAAGAGGAACTTTGACCTTACAATCATTTTTTTTTTTATTGTCATTACTATCCTTAAATATACTTGGGGATGGGAGAGAGGGTCTGTCACTTCATGGCAGTAATTACAGAGGGACAGAGACAGTGTTCCAAAAAAGGACTAAAGCTAAGACAGTCATTTACCAACACAATATTCAAATCTAACTAGAAAAAAATAACCAGGAATACATTGTTTTAAGTCATCAAAATTTCTGCTCGCCCTCACTTTTCATGGCGTCAAAAAAAATTAAATAGCATTGGTATATGAATCACTACACCAGCAGCGACAGACCTTGAGAGGGTAAATTTGGTAACATAGAAGCACCAGCAACTGCACACACTGTAGTTTCACAATGATAATTCAGAACCCTGGGAAGACAAGTTCAAGAAATAAACAGGAGAAATGAATTGCATTTTGCATGTGGTTTCCTTATGCCAGAGACTCAGCAATAAATACTGCATGTCACTCACTTGTCTTCTCGGAAGGCAAAACAAGTAAAATGTCTGAACCACCTCAGTGCTTCAGGAGAAAAGCCTGATATGCAGAGGAGAAATGCAGGGTGTTTCGACACGGCCTTGTTCCAGTTTTAGGGCTTGCTTAGTCAGTCCAAAATGGTGACACAAGATGCAAATTTAGAGTGAGAGGATGTGGGGGATTCACTCACATTTGGTAGGTAAATAATTTGAGTCTCAAGTAAAAGAGACTGTAGAGTTCATAATAAACACAGGGCGCTTTCCTTCACGGGAAACTACAGACAGACAATGTTGACTTTGCCTACTGAGTAGGCTTATCAGTGTTCTGCCCACTGAACGTACCATCTCATCTATTTCATCTGGGTAAACAGAGCTTTACTTTAGGACTACAAGGGCCCTTTGGAAGTGAACAGCAGCAAACGGAGACCTTGATTAGCAAGGCCACTACTTTCATAGCTCAGTTTGCTGCTGTTTGCCTGGCTTCGGTGCTGGGGATGGAACGCAGGGCCTTGCACGGGGTGGGCAAATGGTCTACCTTCTCTCTTCTGTTGACAGCCTTATTCTCCCTTCCTCTTTGGCCCCATTCTACTGTCCCTGAACTCCAACTCCTTTGGTTCGTACTACAAGGGGAATGGCAGATAGCAGTAGAAAAGCAAGCAAAGTTGATCCGTCCGGTGACTAAAAGACAGATGTTTGCACAACTGTGCTTGTGTGTTGAGTGCACAACTTAAGAATCACTTCTTCCCACAACAGGACTCTTACAGAATTTGACCCACTGTGTTTTTGTTTGGTTGGTTGGTTTTGGTTTTTCGAGACAGGGTTTCTCTGTATTGCTTTGGAGCCTGTCCTGGAACCAGCTCCGCCTGCCTCTGCCTCCCGAGCACCACCAACACCCAGCGGAACTACTGTTCCTTTAACTGGCCCCCCACCACTGCACTGTTAGCTCAGAAAGACAAGGTAGTCAGAATCCCTCAAAAGTTTTGAGTTTCCCTTCCTCTCATAAATTCTCACTCATCTCATCACGTCAATGTCTAATTTAGAATTTGAAAGAAAAATGAGAATAGAAAAATACAAACATGAACCCCAACAGCAGGGTGACAGGGGCTAGATTTGCTCATAATCATACCTAATATGAAATTACACACACACAAAAAAAGAGACAGGCAGCTAGAAAAAGAATGTGACAGAAAAAAAAAAAAACTACAATTTCAGAATTCTAAATGCAGGCTCATAAGGAACCTTAGAGGACTGCCTGACTTTTTAAACCTGAATAACAGACAGATAGCTGCCGTCACTCTTTAATGGACATGTCAGGCCTTCAGAAGACAGTGACAGTCACCAGACCAGCATCTTCCATTCAGACAGGAGAGTCAGGACTACTGCAGGTACACTCAGGTTTGAGCTAAACTGTAGAGCATTCCATATTCGGGGTAATTATAGTAAGTGCACATGAGTGTCTTGCTGACTATTTCCTAACTTTAGTATTAGCTTAGTGGATCTATCAACCTTGACTTATCAACATATAATTTTAGCACTGGGGACTGAAGAAAAAGCAACAATTGTAGAGAACCCATGCCCTTGGCCTACGCTGAGTTGTGCTGTCTCTTGTCCTATCAGTAAGATGAGAGTCTACCCTTTGAAATGCCTAGTCACTGGCCTCTACTTCCTTCCTACTTTTTTTTTTTTTTTTTTTGAAACTACAGACAAGTTACAAGTCCTGCAAATCATATTTGTCAACGGGGAATCTCTTTTCTTTGTGCGTGTGGCCACTTGTAGGTGGACCATGCTCCAGTATATGGGCCTACATGCAGCTGCATATTGAACTCTGAGACTTAATAAATAACGAGAGAGAGAGAGAGAGAGAGAGAGAGAGAGAGAGAGAGAGAGAGAGAGAGCATCAAGTTAGGAAGGGTTAACATGCCAGGGGAGGTGGTGAGAGGGCTGGATGGGGAAATCGGGAGTAGATATAAACCAAAATACACTATAAAAACATTTCTCCCAGCTTAAGAGAGAGAGGGGGTATATACACTACATTCCAGTACTTGGACAAATCTATCTAAGGAAAAGAACAGTAACCTCATATTACCAATAGGGAGCTATCCCAGGAAGGAAAATAAGATTAGTCTTATATATGTATAAGGCATATAGAAAGAGAATAAACTGATTTACAGTGTGTGGGTGAACTTATACTTCATGTGGGTGATAAACCAGAAAAAAAAAAAAAAAAATGCTTGAACAGGCTCTTAACAGAGGAAGATAAGACTGAGATGGGCGGGGACTGACCCTGACACAGAGCCAGGGTCAGAGCCTTCAAAATTCACACCAGTGGCCTTTACAAGGCAAATTAAGAAGATCTGATGATTTCTACAATCACTTACACCAATTAAGTGGGAAAATGGAAAAGGTCTAGTATATTACCATATAATCAACAAAAGTATTTTCCCAGGGGCTGACTAAGAACAGCGTGTAATGACATAGATGCATAAAAAATTCACGGGGACACTCACTTCTGTGTGCACTGACTAAAAAACTAAATTGAAAACACTCCCAGTTGTCTGTAAAGAAAAAGAATGAACGAATAAACATTTTCTCTGAAATACGGGTCTCATCTTTAAAGTGAGGTAAGAGCCCGAGTCACGGGATTAATTTAAGGAATACCACTTGTGCCAAATGTCTGACTGCAGGAATGAGTTGTTAAAACACAGGTATTTACAACCTAGGCTAAAAAGATGTTTCCTGGAAAAGTACATATACTTAAACAATTTCAAATGTAAACAAGAAATGGGAACAGAATTCATCTGTAGAGTTTGTGCCTGGCACATACAAGGCATGAACTGCACTATAAAAAATTAAATTTAAAAAATACTATAGTATTTCAAATCTCCACTGAATATCACTAAGTAGCAGAAACTCAGGTGTTACACTTATTACTTCTATAAATCATTAAATCAGAAGATTTTTTGTTAGCTTAAAATATATTTATTTCTATTTAAAATATAAAATGAACAGAAGTAATTCCACCTGCTGAGATATTTCTAGATAAATATCAGCTTAAACATAAACTAAGTGTGACAAACACTAGCAAAAGTAAGAACAGAAACTAAATCTCCATTTTCAGGTCTGTGTCCCTTAGCTGATACATCCATGTAGGAAATGGGGACATCACTGGTAAGAACATAATTTTAAAATAATCAACTTTTTCATAAAAGGGTGTTTTCAATTGCACATTACCTCATATACTACTTTGCTACTTTGCTAATTAACAATTGCTCTTACCATTGTTCAGGGGTTTGTTGATCTTATTAATAAGTAACGGTAAACAATACTGTGCAAAGAAAAGGTCCCAGCAAATGCTAGAGAAATTTTAACACAGATGTTTTCACCATCATCAACTATATCAGCATTAAGAGTATATATTTGGGGTTCTTTTGTTTTTGATTTTTTGTTTTTTTTTGTTTGTTTGTTGTTTTTTTTTGTTTTTGTTTTTGTTTTTGTTTTTGTTTTTTTTTTTTTTTTTTTTTTGGTTTGGTTGGTTGTTTTTGTTATTGCTTGGTTGGTTGATTTTTGTTTTTTGTTTTTGGAGACAGGCTGTCCTGGAACTCACTCTGTAGATCAGGCTGGCCTCAACCTGAGAGATCCGCCTGCCTCTACTTCCCAAGTGCTGGGATCAAGGATGTGTGCCACAGTCAGCACTGCTAGCACCCAGAAAGAGACTATATTTTAAGAGAACTTGGCTTAAAACTATTATTAGAGATGGAAGAAAGCTCTCCTCCATCAAGACTGGGACTCTGTCACATTTGGGCTCTAACAGAGATCTAATACTGGGCTAAGAGTTGGTTAGTTATAAAACTCTACATAGAGACACTGTATTGACAGATGTTTTTGTGCATCTTCTGTCCCTAAGACAACATACTGACACAGCGGGCACTCAGTGCTACCCGACTGACTGGCCAAATGATCTGAAGCTGTCCTAAGACTACCTTAGAACAAGAACACTGTTGGGAATAAGAAGGAGCATACCGGATGCCTAATGGCGTCCACAAAACACGCTGATAAAATACGTTTGCCCGTCTTCCCTTAGGTGCCCAGAAACACATTTTTACAGTTTTCCTGAGACAGTTAAAAGATAAAATTCTCTTCCAGAAATACCGTTTATGGTTCCCACAGTGATGGCAATTTCTTTTAACTCCCTGTGAGTCAAACTTACCATATATAAGATGGCCACCATCTAAAAAGTAAAAGGAGAGAGGAACACAATAATAAAACTAAACATTTTAACTTTGCGTTAATTTGCTAACAACTTAAATATATGTATATATTAACCAGCTATTCATACTTTCATAAGTTAAAAAAAACTAAGTATTTCTCTATATATACATATAACACAATTGTACATCATTTACTTTAGCAGCATCAACCCTAGTATTTGAATCTGTTGGACAGTTACCAGTGCCAATATAAGCCATGACAACTGAACAGTAAAGAAAATATTTACATATATTGTTATATGACTTGATGACACAAAACCACTTTGAAAAGCTTAAATAGAAAATAAACAATAATATAGGCTATGATCAAAAGCTACCAAACCAAGTATAGAGGCACAAGCCTTTAATCCCAGCATTTGGGAAGCTGTGGCAGTAGGTATCAAGTTCAAGATCATTCTGGTCTACATAAAGAGCCTATCTCAAAAACAAGAATGAAAAGCCATAACAAGAGCTATCAGAAACTGAAGTCCCTTTCCACAGGTTCTAGCAACACTCAAAATTACTGTATCGACAAATTTATTACATTGAACAGTAACCCCAATTAGCTGGAGACTGATGGACCCTGCAGTCTTAAATTTCCATCATAAAACATCAGACCTGAACACAGGAAACATGAATAAAAATCAACTAACCTGAGGTAGACCTTTCGTTCTCTTTAGATGTTCTTGTGGGATGATGTGTGGTTGTCTTGGTAGCAGGTACATGCTGCGTTGCTGTAATATGAGCAGAAGTGAGTCTTTGGGTAACAGTCTGGAGAGCCTTGGTGTGAAATGTGGGCCTTCGTGTTGCTGGTAGAGGCTGTGTAAGTAAAGACTTTGCTGTGGCAAATCTCTGGGTTGTTTGAGCAGTCTGCACAGTGGAAGAGTTAACTGTGGTAGGAGTCTGAGTTATTGGTGGACTTTTTGCAGATACAGTATTTGGTATGTGAGAAATCAGGGATGTTGCTGTTTTTGTGGTGGAAATCTTTGCTGTAACGGGTTTCTGCAGAGTTGGCAAGAGGTCAGCAGCTGGGACAGCTGCTGTATGAGTTTTCTGGGGTGTTGGTGGGATTTCTGTAGCTGGGACATTTGCTGCATTGGTTTTCTGATGTGTCGATGGGTCTTCTGTAGCTAGGGCATTTAGTGTACTGGGTTTTTGTAGGGTTGAAGAGATTTCTGTAGCAATAACATTTGCTGTGCTGGTTTTCTGAGGTGTCAGTGAGTCTTCTGTAGCTAGGATATTTACTATATTGGGTTTTTGTGGGATTGAAACAATTTCTGTAGCAATAACATTTGCTGTGTTAGGTTTCTGAGATGTTGGTGGGTCTTCTGTGACTAGAACATTTGCTGTGTTGAGTTTCTGAGGCATTGGTGTAGCTACTGTAGATGGCATATTTGCTTTGGTAGGTTTTGGGGGGTTTGTTGTGGCTCCTGTGCCTAGAACATTAACTGTGGTAGCTTTCTGAGACATTGGTGGGACTCTGGTGCCTAGAACATTAACTGTGGTAGGTTTTTGAGGTTTGAGTGGAACTCTTGTACCTGGAACATTAACTGTGGTAGGTTTTTGAGATTTGAGTGGAACACTTGTACCTGGAACTTTAGCTGTGGTAGGTTTCTGAGACATTGGTGGGACTCTTGTACCTGGAACATTAACTGTGGTGTGTTTCTGAGACATTGGTGGGACTCTTGTACCTGGAACATTAACTGTGGTGTGTTTCTGAGACACTGGCGGGACTCTTGTACCTGGAACTTTAGCTGTGGTGGGTTTCTGAGATGTTAATGGAATTCTTGTACTTGGAACATTAACTGTTGTTTTCGGAGTTGTTGGGATCTTGGATTTCTCTATAAAGAAAACAATGTCAAGTTAAAGAGTAGCTAAATCTTGCTGACCAAGTAAAATTTTCCTAGCCACAACCTGCTCAATGACTGTTCTTTCTCTAACCACAAACCCTTAGACAGGATTTTTAGGAAACCAGTCCTTAGTACGTCCCTCGCAATGCTGTCTCGTTTTTATTAGTGCGCATTAACTGTACATAGCAGTGAAGTTTATAAAAATACATCCTAACAAATATGACATGTGCTTTGACAATACTCACCAGCCTCTCTCCCTCCCATTATTCTTACGCATTCCCCAGACGGTCTCACTTTTCATGAGACAAGTGGAAACCATTATATTAAGTAAAATAAGTCCATCTCTGAAAGATGAATATTGCATGTTTCCTCTCATTAGTGGATCCTAGATTTTATAAAACTACATAAAAATCATATATGTAAGAGATGAAAGTGGAAGCTACATCATTTTTATTGCTATCAACTATATTAATATATAATACAAGTTTAAAAAAAAACACAAAGTTGGCATAACATCTCATTATGTGACACATCTCTCAATTTTCTCCTCAAAATTATCCTCCTCTGCTCACACCAAGACCAAAAAATGTTTTTATATAAAAACAATGATAGCAGTAAGTCTGTCTGTTGTCTTCAGAATGTGTTGGTGAATTTGTAGACTTATTTCTTGCTGGTTATCTTTGGGGTACTTTCACAAACTAACTTTCAGGCAGCACTGAGTAAAAATGAACTTCAGCAAACTTTTTGCCCCCTCTAAGATTTGTTGTTCTCACTCAAAAAAAAAAAAAAAAAAATGAAGATACAAACATGGCGGGCTGGTTGGATCAATACGCCTCATAGAGTCTCTCTGAAACATCAGAGTATCCCCTAAAGTTGTATAAATGAGTGTCAATTTTAGTACACTAACAAACAATGTAAAACAAATGAAAATCCCAGTGCAGCTTACATGCCAGCAGTGTGAAGAATGGTTTAGCTAAGTTACTCTACACACAGCTTGAACCCGAAGCAACGGGTTATATCTGCCATGATGCCCTGCCTTGCCCTGCCTACCAGACACAAGGTTCTAAGTGTTCAGATAGTGTATGTATTTTTCCCTTCTTTTATTTAAAAAAAAAAATCTATGTCATTGGCTGCTTATAAAAGACAACTCAAAATTCCTGCCCAGGCAGTCAAACAATGATGGTGTGACTGGAGTTAAGTGATGTTTCTATAGAGACTATTCATCTTAAGGCATTCACACATACATATAAATTATTCTTTATTTCACTAAATTCTTATTTTAAAACCAAAGGATTGATATACTCCCACTGAGTTTAAGTTTCCTGATTACCGTTTAGTTAATGATGCCTAATTTAATTCCACTGTGGTCGGAAAGATTGCTGTGAATAACGACACCATGGCTGAAGGCCAGCAGATGGTCAGTTTTGGTGAATATCGCCTGAAAAGGAGTAATCATCTACCATGATGGGGTTCAAGTTCCTTAAGCTTAACCTTAACCACTTGCTCACTCTCCTCTGTTCTTTGTGACCTTTTTCCTTTTTTCTCCGCTATAGGAGCAGGTATGTGGAATTCTCCAACAATGACTATAGGTTGGTCTGTCTTTTCTTTCTGTCCATTCAATTTTTGCAGCGCTAATATTAATTTACTAAACAAGAGACCAGAAGCAGGTGGTCATCCAAAGCAAACACCCTTACGGTAACATGTCTGAGGACCCTTGGGTACATTGAAAATAATTCAGTGGTTTTCTATACACAAAGTTCTGAGTGAGTACCAGACAGTATCTGCACTCAGATTCTGGTCCGGCATCATTTCAGATAGTGTGACCAAAACAGCAAAGCACAAGTCTAAGACGATGGACCCATTTCTCAGGGTGCTGGGACCTCACTCTGGCTTTCTGCAGCTATCCTATTGCTCTTCTAGAGCCTTCCACACATCTTAGTCTTCCTGGGCTTGGTGGGAGAGCCATCTTGGCTCCTGGTCTCAGATGTTAGGGGCAGGGCAACACCCAGGTGAGCAACTGACCCTCTCTCTACTGTAGGTGGTTATCCCAAAGCTCCACAAGAGACAGAAAGAAGACAGTCAAACTGTCAAGGCCCATCTGAGCAGCCCGCTGCCCGAGGCAGCTGATAAATAACAAGTCTGTCTCAGAACGTACATGGTGTTGAATTCTGATATTCATTTTGAGGAAAAGTACATTGCTATCTTTTTGCCTGGCTGCCCTGGCACTCGCTCTGTAGACCAGACTGGCCTCAAACTCAGAGCTCCATCTGCCTCTGCTTCCCAAGCACTGGAATTACAGGCGTGAACCACCTCTGCCCAGCTTACGTTGCTGTCTTTTACTGGGAAATCTTTTCATTTGATTGGTCTGTTAATCTGATTTTACTTTTCTTTAAAAAAAAAAAATCCTTAACCCTTCTTAAAAACAGTAAGTACGCACAAATGTACACTAAACGAGAACATGTGTACACAAATGGGAATACAACAGATTACCTATACACTGAGGTGCCTGGTCACTCCATTCTCCTTGGCCATTGTTCACAGTGCAATAAATGGAACTCTTTCCAACCAGGATGAAGCCTTTGGCACAAACATAGGTGACAACATGTCTATATGCATAAGTGTCACTCTCCACTCGGATAGCTCCATTGTCAATTTTTGGTGGCTCTGAACACAAAATTTCTTTAAAAGAAGCAAAATTATCATTTAATAAATAAAGAAAAACTGATACTATATTTTTATAAGTAAGACTAAAAAAAGAAGATAAAAAAACAGTCAAATATTTTTACAACAACTACAATCAACCGTTTTGTTTTTCTGAGCTCAGCTTTACTACAGAAGACCTGCTGGCAAAGGCCTGCCACGGTTTTTCTCAGCCTGGTGAGTCAGGTTATCGTGATAAAGAATATAGCAACATATAGGCAATTTTTGCATGTGTAGGGCACTAAATGAGAAGGAAAACCCATGCAGAAAAGCAGGGAGCCAGCTTTGAACACCACTAGGAGCTTAGTTAGATCTGTAAGAGTTCAGACATGCTGGTAAGCGTGAAGAAGGAAAAGACACGGGACACCTGTGTTTCTGACACGTCACCCTGGGCAGAGTGAAATAGTAATGAGATACAAGGAGAAATCATCTTCTCTCATCCTGGAATTCCACCTACTGAGGTCCCTACATAGAGCCCCATGTTTTAAGGATGTGCACTGCCTTACTGCTGGTTTCCTGTACCAACTGAAGTGGTGGGTATCAGGCCAAGTGAGTATGTTCAGTGACAGCCTGTCCTACCATCCCTCCCTCCGTTATAGGACATACTCAAACATCAAGAATTCCCTGTGCCAGCTCCTCTTTCTGGGTTCCTTCAGCTAGCCCATATTTGTTGGTAGTATACCCACTTCTAATCCAAGGGACAATGAAGTCGGCATTAAGTGTCATGGCAAACATGGCTTGAATACACAGGACTTGTCACATTCTTATGTGTGCCAAAGGATCCTCACAGTAGTGTAGGAAAGGGGGAGTAGTTTGGGGCCAGAGGCTATTTTTTTTTTTTTAATATTCAAACCTTGGCCTTAAAAATGTTTGAGTTAGCCCTCGATGCGAGAGTCCAGATGGAGAAAAATTAACTATCTCAGAAGTAACACAGGGAGTAATACACAGGTCTACAAAGTGTGTGGAAGTAGTAAGGGGGGAAAAATCATAGAAAAGCTAAAGCAGAGAGAGGTCTGGGAAGAGTCATAGCAGACAAGCATTGATTAAAGGCAAGCAGATATCAAGGGTCTGGGGACACAGACATGGCAGAGAAGCATCCAAGGCAAGCAGGTACCATCAGTCAACTGAAAGTAATTAAAAATAAATACAAACAAGGGAGATAGAGAAAAGCAGATCCTCCTGAGAGTGAGGCTTCACTCAACGTCAAGACCCGCCCTGTGTGGGTGTGTAGCTAAAGATGATCCTTGAATGTGTCCATCAGTCCTCAGTCATTTTCCTCCGTGATCAGCGCCACACTGGAGACCAGGGCACCTTCACTCATCTGTTTCACCAAGGCTGCACACTTGAAGAGAAGCAAGCAGCTCACCAGCTACCAATTCACCTCCCAACAACGGAGAAGAGCTACACTTCAGGGGGTCAGTCTTTCTTAAGGGGCTGGCCACTGGGAGTTTGACCATGCTCCAGCAAGTATATGGACAACACAAACGTGGTATAGTTTGGGTTTGGTTTGGTTTTTGCGGAGTGGGGGGGGGTGGCCTGCAAGGGTGGGAGGGTGGATCTTGGAGGAATGGGAAGTGAGTGTCATCAGGGTGCATGGTATGAAATTCCCAAATAATTAGTAAAAATAATATGTTGGGAGGAAAAGAAGGATTCACTTTTCTAGTTTTTGTTTTGGTGATGTCAAAACAAAACAAAAAAAGTAAGTTAATGTGGAAACCAAAAATAGATTCTCACACTCGGGATTTACAGAAATAGGTGGTAATACTGGATTCTTCGGTACAAGGGACTTCCCTGGGGAATGTGTCTATCAGCAGCTGCTGATGGAGAGGCTGCTGCAAGCCAAGAAAACAAGGGTGTTAGCCATAAAGAGTCAAAAGAAAACAGATTGTTGCTTAGGCGCAGCACAAACAGAAGTACCAGGACACATTCTTGATGGGCACTTCTGTAAACCTACAGGCAGCACCTACTGGTAAAAACACTGGGAAATGCCCACCCAGGCTTTAGGCCAGGTTGCCTGGGCCAACAAGCTATGAATTCCAGCTTAGTGAGACATTGTGAACTTAGCATATAAAAGAACCAGCAATCTATGACTAGCCCTCAAGCAAATAAATAAACTGCATGTATTTTATGTCTCTCTGTTTTTTAAAGGGAGCCATGTCTCTGATGGACCTAAATATGACTGGATACATCCATTTACAACACCATTTCCATGTTGTATTTCCTCTTTGACAAGTTGAGATTCTCAGGAGTAGAAATGGTTTCTTTATTACACAACCCTATTCCTCAAATGATAAAAACGTAAAAACTTTAAAAGCTTCTAGATAATTATCTCAGCTGATAACCTTCTCTAAAAAGAGGCAGGTAGGCAGCAACAGACCAAATACAACATAAATCAAAATCAGTTCTTAATTCTTAACTAAAATAGCCTATAGTTAAGGATACTATCACTAAGAGCCATCTTTAAGAGTCCTCCCATAGCTGATAAATTAAGAAGTCTGTCATTAGTACAGACACTGAAAAGTTGGAGTACCACAAATATAGACTATGGATAGTACTTAAATGAGAAATAATTGATTTCATTGATCCTTTGGCCCCACAATGTGAGAATGTACATCTTTTTAAAAAGGAAACATACCTGTGCATATTGGAAATGGGTCACTCCAGCCAACGGTATTATCCATAAGAAAACAGTAGACAGAGGATACACCAACTAGCCTGTACCTAAAGGAGAAGAAAAGACTACAATATTCAGATACTTAAGTCTGGTCTTTTCCATTCTCCAGACATCATTTTAAAAGAGAGACTATACCAGAACACGGAGACCAAATGAGAGTTGATAACCATATCTATTGAAATTTAAAGAAAACCATTTAGTTCACGGAAATGATGCTGAACCAGCAAGACTTCCAGACAAGCAAAAATGCTTCATTAGCTTACTGTATAGAAAATGCATACATAAAGTTGTGCACCCCTTTAGTCCCAGCACTCAGGAAGCAGAGGCAGGAGTTCGAGGCTAGCCTGGTCTACAGAGCTAGTTCAGGACAGACTCCAACACAATACAGAGAAACCCTGTCTTGAAAAAAAAATGCATAAATAAAGAAAATATTCTAAAATTACATTTGATGAAATCATTTATTCTGAGTTCTACAAGAATAGGCTTCATGAATACCAGGGTGCATTTTTATGTAAAGGGTTCTCGGTACAGCATGGTCAAGACTAATGTAAACTCCTGACCCAACTGAATCTCTGCTTAGTAGAGGTGGTGGCAAAGTGCTACTATTTCTTTTTCTGTCCCGAAGTTTGAGATGCATTTTGTTTCATTTAGTTCTGAAGAACTTTTTGAGAACTTTATGCATGATGGCAAGGTATTTTAATGAACCCCAAGCCCTCCCTTTTCCAAGCCCTCCTCTAACCTACTCCACACCCTCCTTCCCTAATTCCATGTTGCTTGTCACAAAGCCTCTAAGTCCACCGAGTAACGCCTATTTCTCCATTCTAAAACGGGGAGGCAGAGTGGAGATCTAACTTGGAAATAGTAAGAAAGAAAATGAACAGAGGTTTCCCACTGTTTGAGATGCACTTTTTAAAAAACTTCCCTAATCTACATGAAGAACTAAAAAAAAATAAAATAAATAAAATAAAATAAAGCCTTAAGAAACTTCTATTGGGAGGGCATTTTCACACTAGGCATTTTTTAGCCCATGACCTAACAGTTTGTCTGCATATAAAAAAACTCAGATGCAAATTAATATTTAAGTCAGTTTAAAATTGGTTTGATTTTTAACACCTTAAGGATTATTTCTCTATCATCGACATATTTCAATTTTTTCTTCACTAATCATATTTAGAATAGCATATGTATTAGAATCTAATAACCTAGAGACATTAGAAGTACGAAAATCATTTTTTCCTGCCCCACGTTACTATGTTGAACTACAATGAGCACATGGCAAAAGTTCTTTGAGGAGAGGTATTAGGTTCTTTAACTTTTTTTCAATAGCTTTTATTCTGACATTTACATATATGTCCATCACTGTGCATTGCTCATATTCACCCCTACACTCATTACTGGGGATTGTTTTGCTACCAACCAGAGAACACGGGTCACAAATCCATCAGTGTCCACAGAACTCCTAATTTGTTTTGTCATTAATTAAATACAGAACTTTAGTGTCATGCAACTTACCCTGTGTCACATGAGAAGAATATTTCTGAACCAAATAATATGTCGGTTGTTATGTTGATATGACCATTTTTTATTTCTCCAGGATTAGGACATGATTTTTCTTTTAAAAAAAAAAAAAAGTATAGCAACTTTTAAATTTTTTCATTCAATTACCAGACAAACAAAAAAATAAATAAATAAATAAACACAACTCTAACTGTACTGAATATGTTAGTGGGTTAAGATGGTAATGGTAACCATATATATGTATGTATACACACACACACACATTCCCTGTATACACAGAGAGAGAGAGAAACATAAACACCTAAGAATATCAAGACCCTGGGAAGATAAAGTGCTTGCTTATTGAAGGTGTGAGAACCAGAGTTTTGGGCCACCAGAACCCATGTAAACAGTGGCACACACCTATATTCCCAGTGATGGCAATATGGGAGACAGACCCTGGAAGCTGCCAAGGAGAAAGGGAGAGGACAGTCAGTGTAGTCTATGAGGTGACGTTCGAGGCCAAAGCACCTAAGGACTGACACCTAGGGCTGTCCTCTGAACAACCCCCACACACATACACCATGTACATGCACACTCATACCTACTCATTAGCACATACATGCATGCATGGAAAACATAGCATTCACTATGAAATAACGTGTACCTTGAATTTACATGATTTTTTTCTTGTTAATTATATCTTAGGAAAGCAGAAACAATTAAATATGAGAGATATGCACACAAATTCATTCTCTAAGCCATTGATATTTCTAACCCTTGAATCCTTAACACTGGGACAGGCAGTCGTAGTGCACACCATTAATCCCAGCACTTGGGAGGCAGAGGCAAGTGGATCTCTGAGTTCAAGGCCAGCCTGGTCAACCGAATCGGTTCCAGGGCAGCTAAGGTTACACAGAGAAACCCTGTCTCAAAGAAACAAACAAACAAAAAAAAAAAAACACTCATGATTATTTGAAAAATCATTATATGTGTGTGTGTATGTATGCATGTATACATATATATGTATGTATACATAATACACATATATTATATGTGTGTACGTGTACATTTTCAGCACAAACATATATGTATATATGTGTATATATACATATATGTATGCATGTATATTATATATGTTTTTATATATATACATATATGTACATACCCTCACACATATATTTCCAGCATGAATGAAAGATATTCCACAAATACAGATGATTGGGATTACTTATTCAAATTATACTCACTTCTACAAATTTCAGCAACTTTGGACCATTCTAAATTCTCCTGGCAAGTTGATTTGCCTGATAGTAAAGGTTGTCTTTGAAATCCTGGCCGACACTCATACTCCACAGTGCTACCAACTGGGAAATAATTCATGTTGATATATTCTTTTTTGAGGGATGCAAAAGATATCCTTGTTGGAGCATCACAGCTTTCTAAAAGAATTATCAAAGTGACAGAAAGAGTAATAACACAGATTATAAAATAAGTTGACATCTTGTAATATCTGGCAGTTAAACAACCCCTTTTCCTTCAACTAGTTATGGTTTGGTAGGGACCCTTACATCTTTATATATTCATTTTTTTAAATAAATTTCACCTTGGCATTTGCAGTTTATCAAGTGTATTCACATGCACGTCCTCATTCTTCAGTTACTAGGTATCTGTTACGTTTCCACATATAAACGTCAACAATAATAGGAATAATAATATCTTGCGTTTATGAAGTACTTCTAAATGTTTTACGCACACTTACTATTTAATTTACAACAGCCCCTGGTAACAAGAGTCGGATGAACCAGCTGTGGACACAAAGTGTGCACCAAGTGGAAACAGCTGGGAGAAGGATCTCCGGCTAGGCAAGGAGTAGAGTAAGAGGCGGCGGTTCAGTAGTCCAGGGGCCCAAGCTTGAGGCGCCTCTTAGGCATAAGAGGCACTGGTCTTGTACATGTTATTTACCTTCTGGCGAAAGATTTACTCAACTTTGAAAATGAGAAGATTCCCCACTTACATAGTTCATGGGGTTGCTTGAGGGATTTGATGAAGTAATACTGACAGAGCTACAAACTCTGAAATGTGTGGTAAAGGCTGAAGGGTTTCCTGCCTTCAAGGGGAGCTGAAAATACAAATGTAAACCCCCTTTCACTCATGGCTTCAAAGGTTAGTTTTGAAGGATTCTGGATTTACTGTAGCTTCCCCCAATGCAGGTCATCCAAAGGCAGCAATCAAACCTTACTTTTCCATGTAAGCCATAATGGCATTTTGAGCCATGATGGGTCACATATACTAATTGCTTCAGGCAGGTATGTAACGGAGTGGAGCTATTCCTGTTGCCTAGCAACACTGAAGCCATCCTAATGTAATTTCTTGCTAACATGTTTGCACCGATGCTAGTGATAGCAACCACAGTCCATGAAAACCATGCGGACAGAGCACATACAACCACATAGAGTAGATAATGTTTAGCAATAAGTTGCTAATTCATACATTTATCATATTATACCTTTTATTTTTAATGTTATTTTAGAGTATAAAAAGATGAAGGGGGGGAGCCAGGTATCATAGGTTACTATTCCAGATACTTGAGAGGCTAAGGCAGGGGGATTTTGTGATCCCATGAGTTGAAGCCAGCCTGAGCAACATACAGGCAAACAAAAAGTAAACTAATGCTAGTTTATTTATTTTTTTTAAAGAACATTGGCATAGCCTCAGCATACAGTGTGTGTAAACCCTATGTAGCGGACAGTAGTGTCTTAAGCCCTGAAGGCCAGTCCCCTCTCCCTGATTCATGTGCTATAACTGCCAGCAATATTTAGTAGAGTAGCATGCTATACAGACTTACAGTAAAAGAACAAGCAACAGGCTACACCACAGAACCCAGGTGGGCAGACACACCATCTGGTTCTGAATCCCTGCCTTGTGTTCCGATATGCCAGAATCACCTAAAAACTGGATCTTAAAACTAACGTAAGGCTAGAAGTGCAACAGACTTTCCTTTGAAGTAAGGTCTTAAAATGTCTCCTAAGAGTTGTATTCGTTACTTAACAAAATGAAGTTGAAGAAGGCAGATCACCTGGGTGTGTGTCTCAAGGTACTTGCCAAAAATATTCACATGTAATTTACTCCCTGAACAGAACCTATTATTTATTTTCTGTATTGGCCTTCACAATAGAAAGAAAAACTCTTAATGAAGCAGGACCTGCTATAGGAAGTACAGCCTTCAATTAGCTGGAGTGTGAGCTGCCAACATGTATACTCTGGGGTTTAATAATGCTAGAAAACTATCAATTACCAGTCACTCCAAACAGGTGTTAAAAAAAAAAAAAAAAAAAAAAAAAACCCTCAACAAAATACACAGACAGTCCCATAACATTTTCAAAAAGACTTGAAAAACTTACTATTACAGAATGTTTCGAGGCTAGACCATACACCGTTTTTAAGGCAGAACGCTGTGTTTTCCTTGTCTGGAATTTTTTGAAAGCCTTTAATGCATGAATATGTCACAAAGCTGTTCTCTGGAAAAGTGCTGCCTTTATCCACTTCTGTCATGGCATTGGGTATTTCTGGAGGTGGGCCGCAGTCACCTAGGAAGATAAGAGCAGAGTAAAGCAGACACCTCCCTTACGCTGGGAGTTAACATTATCTCCCTAGACTTGGAATAAGGGAAGCAGCAATGCCTTTTTACTTCCTCATGGCGCCCAACCCTCCCAACAAGAACTTGCAAAGCCTGCCTGCGCTCTCCTCCCTCTAAAGACTCCATATCCGCACGGACACCGCGGCTAGGTCAGAGTTAAGACACCCAACGTGAGTGGCACCTGACGCTGATCGAAACCGGACTCTCGTGGGCGCAGGTGGCCCAGCCTTCTGGCCTCCACCCCTTAAGAATAAAAGAACCAGGAGCAGAGCTGGGGATTCGCACTCAGTCCTCTCCCTTTTTAGTTTGTCCACGGTCTCCGGTGGCGCGATCCACTCACAGCCCAGCACTCCACATCCATCCCTCCCACCGGCCGACCCGCACTTGCCCGCGGGGGTCCGTCCCCCCCCCCCCCCCGGGTTACGGGGAACAATGCCTGCTGAGCTTGAGCGTGCCTGGCCGGCCCGCGGAGGCTCAGTCATCACAGCTAGTGCCCAGCCACTCACCCCGCACGGTCGGGGACATCAGCAGCTGCGACAGCAGCAGCAGCAGCATTGGGGGCGTTGGTGGTGGCCGAGCCCCCGGCGCGCGCGCGCAGCCCATGGCCCCAGGTAGAAGAGAGAGTGGTCCGGCTGTCTGCGGCTGGAGCTGTTTTCTCGCCGCGGTTAATTGAGCGGCTATAGCGAGGCTGGGCGGGGCAGGCCCTCGTCACCCTGGGTGGGGCGGCCCGCGCGCAGAGGGCGTTCCCTCCGAGGCGTGGGCGGGCCGGGGACATCTGCGTCACCCTGGGGACCCAACCCGCGGGTGGATCTGCTGAGGGTTATGTCTGAAGGGGAACTGCAAGCCTTCCAAAGTAAAAGCGCTTTGCTCCCTTGGGCTGGGCGTGTCAGCACTCAGCAACAGCAAAAACCACACAAACTCCCCAACTCCGATCTGCAGAGTGCTGGCGAAGCGAGGGGTAGGCGCGGTGGAATTCCTGGGCCAGTGGGAGCTGAGAAACAGGGTACACCCAGGACCTTTGTAGCTCCAGCTGGAAGATGCCAGATGGAGGGTGGGAGCTGAGCTGTTGGCCAAGTATGTTGTCTTCTAAGTCTCTCCATGGTGTCAAAACGGAAAGTAGCAGGTGATCCAAGAAAACCAGCATAGGCTAAAGGGGAGCTGGAAACCATCCTGCCAGAGGCCTCTCAAACAACACACAGAGGTCAAGGGAACTTGGTCATTTTTTCAGACCTTGTCTGGGTGTGGAGTCGCTTTCTTAGTCCTGGCTCTGGTTATGTACCAAGGACTCCCCTCGAGTTCTGCTTTAGGATTTATTCCTGCTATAAAATGAAATTCGGAAGTAAGTAGCAGAGCCTAAAACAAAGATTTGTTTTGTGCTGCAAAGACTAGCCAATAATACACAAAAGGATCCACATATTGAATTGCCTGAGAGCATTAAAAAAAAAAAAAATTCAGAGGCTAAAACTGAAACTGGGCCCAGAACAAGCTGAACATCTTTGAGGACAGCCATAGGAATTGGGATTATTATTTAAGGTGTGTCACTGTGCACAGTGCAACCCGGTTTGTGAATCCCCAGATCCATGTGATTCCATCAGAGCAGCCATGTACCTCGAGGTGTCTCTGATGAGAAGGGGGAAAGGGTTGTAGGTCCTCGTGTAAAGAACCCCAAAGTGTTTCCCTTTAATTGTATGTCTGGGTTAGCAGAGTCCTAGCATGAATTGCAGTTCTCAACTCGGTGTTTGGCTAAGTAAATAAATATGAATCAGAGGAAACACTTGTTGAAAACCAGATTCCTCTTCAAAAGCTCACACTAACATAAGGAACCTTGATAAAACTTTAGGAAAAATTATCAGTGTAGGGTGTAACAAACACTCCTACAGTGGCCCACCATCAAAGACAGAATTTATTTCAGATGATTAGTTAAGGGAAAAGGCATTGAAATCTCACAATATTTAAGCATTCTGGAGTTTACTTCATCCTCTAGTGACTCATGCCTGTAAATTTGAAAGGTTCAAGGCTAGCCTGGAGCTTCAAAGTTCCGAGTTAACATGGCCTGTATTATAGGACCATTTTTCAAAAACAAACAAAAATGTCCTAGAATTTGAACATCTCATGAAGGTAGAGTGTTTTAAAACCATCAATGTTTAAAAAACATACTATTACTTCCTTCTGTGGCAAGTGTGTAAGGGCCCAGCAGAGACAGTTCCTTCATTCCTTCTGGGCTTTCTGTGACTTACTTTTTCCTGCCATGCCACAGGTAGTCTGAGTCAAAACCAGAGAGGGAGCTGTGAAAAATCCATCAAAGAGTTCTCTAAAGGGGTGTTAATTGAACACCATGGCTTTTCTATCTAGATAGAACAATGGGCTCAGCAAAGTGTCAAAACCATCTTTATCACCCAGCTTAGCAACTTGGTTCTCTGAAAGTAAGTTCTCTCCAAAGGAACAAATAGAAGAAATAATGGGTGGTAATGTTTGTCACCACCCAAATAATTACAACACTCTGGGGAAAATTAGAACTATCACAGGACTCACTTACTTCATTTAGAGAGAAAAGGCAAGCGTTAAAATGTAAGCACTACTACAAAAAAGAACAAAACCTTCACATTTTTAGCTTAGCGGGAGGCTCATATTTTAAATGCTGGCCCAGGTTTGCTGTATTCCAGTAGGTTTCAAGCATGTACTCTTTTACTAGCACAGCTTCAGAAAGTGGACTAGCTATCAGTATTTCACAGAGGAGGGGACAAAAGAGTTATTTCTACCAAAACCTCTACAGTTAAGACGTGACCAGATGAGAATGCAAATCTAATTCTAAAGTTTGATGCTAAAACTTAGACATTTTTGTGTGTTCACACACACTTGTATTTGTGTATTCGTGTGTCCCTGTTGGGGTGGGCAACAGAGGACAACCTCAGGTGTCATCCTCAGGAACATATGTCTACCTCCTTTGAAACAGGGTCTCTTACTAGAACCTAGGGCTTTTATTGACTTGGGCAGGCTGGCTGGCCAGTGAGCCCCAGGGACACACCTGTCTCTGCTGCCCTGGGGCTGGGATTATAGATATGTACTCGCACACCTGACATTTTTACATGGGTCGTGGATATTGAACTCAGGTCCTTCTCATACTTGTATGGCAAGCATTCTACCGACTAAGCTATCTGCTAGCCCGTTGTCTGTAATAATCATCGAAGGTGTGTTCTGCATTAGAACACAGTGAGTTAGGTGTTCAAAGAGACTCTGTGAGACCTAGGGCCTTCTTGTGAACACTAACTCCTTGCTTTCACTCTGCACTCTGAAAGGTAGCCACGTGTCTTCCAGCATCTCAGTCCACATTGATTTCAAGATGTCTGGGAACAATTTAAGAACCCTATAGAGATCTCCAATTCCCAAATGACACATTTATGTAAGTAGGTCAGGAAACATAAAGATACCTAAAAATAAGCATGATTTTGAAGGAATGAGAAAGCATAGCTTTGGCCCAGGTAGAAAAGACTAGCTCGCTGTTTTAAACATTTGGCGAATGTTTAAAACTTAGCAAGCTTAACATTTCCTTCCAAGAATCCAAAATCTGTTCACGTGATAAATGCTCTGAGTAATGAATGCAGCAGCAAAATAAGTGCTCTGGAGTTCGGGAAGGAAAGTGGAGAGAGCCCATTGAAGACTGGCCGATTCTACCAAACAGGACTAGCGAGTGTGTGATGGGTCAAAGGATATGAAAAGAAAGGAGAACTGTGTGAGCAAGGGGTCAGCAAGGGGCCAGGTGCTCGCTAGGATCTAGAGGCAGGCTAGAAAGGGATTTGAGGAGCCCATGTGTGGCACGCTGCTCATGAGTGGTGGCCGACTGTGGGAAGCCCGAGCTACTTTGGAAGTTGTAGATAGAATCTGGAAATGGAGTGACTCCAAATGCACCAAAAGTTTGGAGGTTAACACTAGAGAATAGAAATGCCTTAATTTCAGGTTTTTTTTGCTTTTTTTTAATAATGACTCTATTATTAAGGAAATAGACCCGTTACTGGTAAAAAAAAAAAAAAAAAGAAAAGAAAAAAAGAAAACCTCACACAATTATTATAAAACCTTGGGTTTCCGTTCTGGCTCAGAAGGAGGGTCCACAGAATTTGACAACTGAACAGAAGCTAACCAATCTTAAAAGTGGCTCTGAAATCTGAGCATGTTTTACGTGAAGGGATAGCTTTAAAAGGACCCTTATTCCAAAACCAGGAGGCCATTGAGGGGAGAAATACACAGTTTGGCTTTCTGCTGGTTAAATATAAAAATGTGTTAGCAGCACACAGCATGACATTGAAATGTAGGCGATGGTGCTGGAGCCCAGAGAGGGACCTCTGTTAAGGGGTAACCAAGGAGAGAGCAAACAGAAACTCAGAGGGCAGCCTTAAAATCAACAGTACCCAGAAGAGGTGTCAAAATGGAAAAGGAAATTACAATTTCCTGAAAGACAAGGCTACTGAACCTCAGCCAGATATTGTCATCCTTTGTGTTAGATCAGGGAGGCCGCTGGGATGCAGGGAAGTTGAGAAACTTATGTAAAGAAACTTACAAAAAAGGCAAAACAAAACCACATAAACAGCTTAGAGTCTGAAGGTCCCAGGCTGTTGGGCAGTCCCACTCTGGAATCTCTCTTCCAGTCAGTCTCTTAGCTCACAAGGTCACAAAGAACACTTTGCTCCTCTCTACCATTTTGTCTGCCCCTCTGTCAGTTTTTCTTTCCAAGGAGCCTTCTGTATGCATGTATTCCCAGTCCCTACAATATTCCCTCGTGCCTGGCAACACAGCCAACAGAACTTTGGGCTGAGGATTTTTGTTTTGCTTTTGGTATTTGGTTGGTTGGTTTTTGTTTTATTTTGTTTTGTTTTGTTTTTTTGGTCATACAGCAGCAGATATAGGCTGCTCTGCACTGCAAATTAAGTGAGGCATGTTTTGTAAAAATTCATGAGAACAGATGTTTTCTTCTGCAACTCCTCTCCATCCTCCCCACCCACCCAACTCCACACCCTTCCCCTCTTTAGATAACAAACAGGCAAACAAACAAAAACAACCCCAAAAAGAAAGGAAGGAAGAAAGGAAGGAAGAAAGAAAGAAAAACCCACAAGAAACAGAAACACAACCCATCCCCCCCCACCAAAACCACAAAGTTGGAAATGGAAACCATAACATACAAGCAAAAGACTGGTAAGTCGAAAAATAGAAAACAAGCCCAAACAAACGCAATATGACAAAAAAAAAAAAAAAAAAAAAAAAAGTCTACAAAAATACCATTGAGTTCATTTTGTGTTGGAGATCTACTGCTGGGCATGGGGCCTGCCCTTAAGTGTGATTAATATACCAGAAGATTCCTTTGGTGAAAACTAATCTTTCCTTTACAAATGGATGCCAATTGCTGAAGCATCTAGTACACCCTATTTCTTATACAGGAGTTTTTGGTTTTTAATTACTTTTTATTTTCATACAACATATTTTAGTCATATCCTTTCCCTTTGCCCAATTCCCCACCCCACCCCCAAACCCCTGCCCACATTTCATAGTCTTTCTCTTTTCTGAAAAAAGAAATCAAAACAAAAGAAATGTGTGTGTGTGTGTGTGTGTGTGTGTGTGTGTGTGTGTGTGTGTGTCCAAGATCTAAGGACCCATT